TTTTTTTTTTTGGCTTTGGGAAAGGGTGGAAAAAAAATTGGGTTTTCAGGGTGGGGGTGGCACCACCAAAGGCCTTCATTTTCTTTTGGAGAGGGGGTTTACCAATAAAAATGGGTTGGGGCGGAGTGTTTTCCAACCGGGCCTTTTGGACCCAATGTTAGGAGGACGCTTAGGCCACGCCCCCATGCTCCTGGCATACCCCAAAAGGGTTGAAAATATTTTTGGAGGAGAAATGTAGGGACCAAATTTTCCCAAAAAAAAATTTCTTCGGGTTTTTAAAAAGTTTTACAATACAGGGTAGACGTCCACCAGTTTCCAATAGGGTTAGGTCCCCCAGGAGGGGGGGGGGGGGGGGGGCGTACTCATTTGTTGCTTGCCGTAGTCATTTGACCATTGACCACGCGTCCCTTTCGAGACGGAGCACCGTTCCTACACCTACTTGAGACACCACCAACATTTGGGAGCTCTTTACGTTTCTGCCACAAACGACGGGGGGGGGGGGGTTAATGGAGGCCCAACCTCAAACCCAGGATAAAACTCGCGTATGCATACCGCACTAAGTACCAAAACACATACAACGGGTCTTGAAAACTTTTCCGACGCTTGTACATGTTGTACACCACATACAATGAACGTACTTCGAAGTTATCGACTTGAACCACTTTCTGGTCGGTGCAACTCAAACAGATATACACCCGGAGGTTCTTACAAGCTGGTCTGACCAAGAAGCAAACTTGAAGGTTGGAGCGGATTTCCCACGCGGTTTTTTCGAATTAGAACCTGAAATTTTGACACGGCATCTGCATGAATACAACAAATAAAAAAGCCACTTGCGCCATTTGGATTTTTTTTTTTCATTGAGTTAGGCCGATATTAGTATTCATGGGGAACATTTGCTAAGCGAAAAATTCGCAGGAAAAAAAAAAAAAAAACTCAAATGGCGCAGTGGCTAATATTTGTTGTACTCATGAGGATGCCGGGTCGAAATTTCAGGTTTTAATTCGAAAAAACCGTGTGGGGATCGCGATATCCTCACATTCCCTCAGGTATCTTGTGTGTTGTATCGGATTCTTTACGAGGCCATAACTTCTGATGAAACATGCCGTGAGCCTTGAAACTACCATGTATCCTCTCGCGATGTTCCCAGGTACATGCACAGCAATTTTTAGCTTGATCTGAGAAACTTTTTTTATGCTGATTTCAGTACGGGAAGTATCCCCCACCATGCCGCCAATTGATAATTATATACCTAAATCCTTAAATGAACCCAGATCCGAAAAATTCCGGCACCTGCGCGTCCCCTATCGTCTTACAATATAAAGAGCAGCCGCCAAATTTGAAGTCTAAATTCGTAGAAACAGCCGAGTTGCACGTGAAAGAACGAAAGTTAGCTTCTTGGTCAGACCAGCTTGTACGGTCGAGTCCTGTATGTACCAAGTACCTTCAGTTAGCCTGGATTTCGAGTTTCGTTCCTTCAGCAGTGGTGAGGATGACTCCCTCGTTTCTCTGTCCTACTTTGTCCTATCTAGACTAATTCGTACGGTATGATATAGGTGGTAATGCGGTCTGCATGAAAATGGACTGCACTCTGTATGCGGATACTTGCGCCAACACAAGCAATTTTTTCTCCGCGACACGCAAAACAATGCGCACCAAAAACCCATCAAACACGTGCTCAAATTGGCACCCCCAGGCCTCACCTCTGACACCCGTAGGCGCGTAGACGTTCCGCGCGATTGCGCTTGTGCCTCTCTATCTCGGCCTTTGTTTGGGCCGCTCGCCTGCTGCTGCCGGCCCTGCTGCCCTGATTTGCTTCTTGTTGAGCTACCGTGGCAGCAGCGGCGACGGCGGCTTCCCGCTCCTCCTGCTGCTTGAGCTCCGCCAGCTCGTCTTCCTTCGTTTCCTCCTCCTCCTCCTCCTTTCCCCGTGCTGCTTCCTGTGACGCCGCGGAGCTTGCTGCTGCTGCTGTTGCTGCTGCTGCTGCTGCTGCTGCAGAGGACGCCAGTAGGGAGGCCGCCATCGAGTCGAGACCACCTGCTGGTGTCCTGCTGGTCTTGGCTGTGGTCTGACTACTGCTACCTTTAATACTGACAGTGGAAATGCCGGCCGCTGCATCTGCTGAAGCGGTGGTGTTATCTCGGCGACGCTCCTGAGACGACGGCGTCATCGTGTCCGTCAGGGGCGTGCTGGAGCCGATAGCCAGGGAGATATCTCCCTCCGCTCCCCCTTCTGGCCTTCTTCTCTCGTCGTCGGCGGTGGCGGGCGTACTTTCGTGTGTCGTTGTCGGCGACCGGGATGCGGGAGGATGATGATCATTCTCCTTCCTCTCACCCAGAACCTCCTGCAAGCCATCGCCGGCCTCTTCTGCTGCCGCCCCCATTCTAACTAACGACCGACTCACGTCCCCGCCTTGCTCCTCCTCCACGATCGCCAGGCCTTCGGACAAGGCGGCTGCCTTCCGCCCGCCCTGGGGTTGGACTGCCGCCTGCAAGAGTAGTTCCGTGTCTACGAAGCCATACCTCGCCCAGCTCTCCAGCTGCCTCTTGTCTGGAATCGGCAACTTTTCCTCCTCTATTATGTCTCCATGCCCCACCCTGATGGCGGACGTCGATGCGTAGGTCCGGTTGGGTGGAAGGCGGCTAGACCTCGTTCGTGCGGCTCGGGCTGTGCTCTCCGCATCAAGAGGCGCCGTGAGGGTGGCGAGGGATTCCATGCGAAAGCATTGTCTCGGGGTGTTTGGAGAGGGATCTCTCCCCGGAGGAGGGGGGATGGGTGACGGGCTCGCCGTCGACGCCAGCGCCACCTCTTCGGACGTGTCCTCCATGAACCACACCGCCGTATGAAACACAGACAGAGGACAGTCTGCTCACCACGCAGAGCCAGCAGGCACTTTCTTTCCTGATTTGCCTATGTAATGGATACGCACATCACTCGCGCTGTCTGCTGTCTGCTGTCTGTGTCTGCAGCTTTGTGAGAATTCATTCCACGTCGCCCCGGCTACAGGTACCCCCCCTCCTTCATGTGGTGTTTTACCCCGCACTAATAATAAACACATTCGCGCTGTCCTGCGCTGCGCTGCCTTTCGACACACCTGTCTGTCTGGCTGTCTGGCGTGTCGCAGATCAGATCGAGACGCGATGACGAAATTCCAGGTGATGCTCGCTGTGGCCGGGCTGGCCTCTCACGCGGCGGCCTTCGTTCCCGTGCCTGCCTCGTGGTGGAGGCCGTCGGCCGTGGCGGCCGCATACTCGACGTCTGCTGATAGACACTCCAAGACGAATCGCGCAAGCTTGGCCATGAAGAAGGAGCCTGCTGCTGGTGCTCGAGGCGGCAAGGCGGGGGCGAAGGGCGCGGCGGACGAGGCCATCGACCCCAGGCGGCAGGCCCTGGACGGGGTGCTGCACCAGATCGAGCGCTGCTACGGGAGGGGGAGCATTCTCAAGATGGGCGATACCACCTCCATGGACGTCGAGACTTCGTCAACAGGTGCTGGTTGCAGCAGCAGTGGAATATGACGGCTACACACTCCATTCTAACGAAGTCTGACATGTCATGAACAGATAGCGCGGGATTCACTTCGAGTTGCAAGACCGCGTTGTATCATGAGTACAGCAGGTGCAACTGCTATGACGGGGTAGGCACGTGAAAAGCAGATCTTTCAAGCATGATGGCGTGCGCGGTTTGATTTCGGCGCGGCGCTAGCGAGTGTGCTTGTACGGCCGAGGCAAGGCCAAAGCTTGCGGTGTAGACTTGGACTCCCAACCAGTAGACCAGTACTATATAGTTGGCTGGCAAGCTGCAACGCTCTTGGACTGTGAGCATTCGACGTGATCACGCGCGTATCCCACATGTGGGAGAGGCTGTCGCTCAAGTATTGTTTGTGAGGCAGCACAAGCAGATAAGGGAGCGTGACCACAGACACTGCCGTCGACGAACCAGATGCTGCTGCTCTCTAAATATACTGCTGTATAGCACCCGGTTTGAACGTGGTATATGTAGCTAAGCTCATGGTTTCCTGGTTGCCCTGAAGTTCTTGACTGCTGTACCGCTCTTTCCCGAGGTAGACAGCTATTTTGCATCAGGCAAGCCTTCCTTGCATTCAACCCCGTTCGCGCTGCTGAGACCAAACACGTCCACGCATACACTGTACACGCGCTGTGCAATGCCGGCGGTGCGTCAGACTGCTGTCCAGCTGCAAGCGTTTCTCTTCTTTTTATTGATGTTCAAATTTGAAATCGATGCAAAGGCGCACGGCGGGAAGAAGGCGCGAATTCGTTTTCTTCTTCTTCGTTACCCGATGGACAAAAATAAACTACATGTAGGACTAGGCGATGCTGCACGCGGGCAGACTTGGACACAGAGGTTTGAACTGCTGTTGGCAAGCGCCTCGACTCCATGTACCAGTAATAACAGCTTGACAGCGAACTCTGCTCTGGATCAAGCGGACTGTGGACTTGTCCAATCAATATTTCGCGCACTGTTACCCCGCCTCTCATGTATGTGCCAAGTGGGCAGCAAGCACCTGGAGCAGAGGTACTGTGGGGACCAATTTAATAGCGTAACCGTCTCGATCAAAGCGCCACCCACGGAGAGAAGTTGGATCAACACAGGTTCGAGAGAAAATCAGAACAATCGGCCGATTGCGACGAAACCTGTCCATTCACCCTCCGCCTCCCCTCCCCTCCCGTCAAAACAGGGTCTATGACCTTGGACATCGCCCTTGGTGGCGGCTACCCCAGGGGGCGCGTGGTGGAGATCTACGGCCCGGAGAGCTCGGGCAAGACCACCCTAGCCCTTCACGCTCTCGCCGAGATCCAGAAGACGGGGGGAGTGGCAGCCTTCATCGACGCGGAGCATGCACTCGACCCGGCGTACGCGGACAGGCTCGGGGTTGACGTGGCGGACCTACTCGTCTCGCAGCCGGACTCAGGTACCGACCCCCTTGCGTGCGTGCGTTTTTTTTTGTGGCTGTGGGGCGGGAGGTCAACGAATGCTTATTTGGGGTTTGTTATATTTATACTCCGAAGTATGCACGAGATGGACGCCGGGGATGAACGGAAGTGGGCTGATGTTCGAGGCGCCGCGGGGATAGGGGGCGGGGGAGGCGTGATAATGTGTTTGCATGCCTTAGCGGTTAGACCAACGATCACGCGTCCTCGAGAGGACGGAGCATAAATAGCGGGGAGACGGGGGGGGGGTTCACTTTTGTGAGATGGCGTCTAGAATTACCGCTCGCTCCTGGCCGTCTCGCATCGCGTTTCCTCGGGACGCATGTCGGCTGTCTATGAAAAAGTCGCGGTCGAACCCCCCCTATCCCACCACCGCCCCCGCTGCCTTGGTGCAAAACCCAAATACCGCCGTTGGGCACGACCGATCCGATCCGCGTGCGCTGCTTGCCTCAGGCGAGATGGCCCTGGATGTCGTGGATCAGCTGGTGCGTTCGAACGCCGTCGACATGGTAGTGGTTGACAGCGTGGCGGCGCTCGTGCCCCGTGCTGAGCTGGAGGGGGAGATGGCCGACATGCAGATGGGGCTCCAGGCCCGCCTCATGAGCAAGGTGGGTGTAGCGTGCGTGCGGAGAGGACGAAAAAAGGGGACAACAATATGGTAGACCGTAACAAGCGTTGTAACCGTAGCGGCATGCGGTTGTACATGCGTCTTCGTACTCCCGTGGATGGCATCTCGCAGGCCTGTTCATCTCCCCGTTGGTTGTACCCATCGTACGTAAGGTTAATATTGAGTGCTGGAAGGACCGCTCCCGCGTGCGTTTGCTGCTAGGATAGGACTCACCTGTTGTTTTGTGTTGTCCGTCGATTGTTGTTGTCGACCAAGACTGGAATTACGGAACGAACGACTTGTCGAGCTAACTCCACCAGCGCATCTCGGTACGCGTATAGGAAGCAGCTACGTATTGTGCATGAATACGTTTTTTCGTGAATGCGTTTATCTTGCCATCAAGTATGTTTTCGGTTTCGTAGCGGCTTCGGTGCTAAGGCGTTGACTACCTCCCCCCCCCCCTCCCCCACGATGCACAGGCCATGAGGAAGGTTACCGGTTCTCTCTCCAAGTCGCAGTGCACGGTTGTGTTCCTGAACCAGCTTCGCTCCAAGATCGGGGTGATCTACGGCAGCCCGGAGGTTACGAGCGGTGAGTGTCCATGTCGCTCTTCAGGGAGGCAGCTGCCGCTGTTCATGGCACAGCTGTTGCTTTTTGATATTCTCACTAGGCCGTAAGCAGGATCATGTCGACGTCCGAGTTTCTAACGAAGCAGAGGGGAGACGTGCGTGCGTGGGCGTGAGGCCGAGCGAAAGTTTTAAGCTAGTCGGTTGAACGCGTGACGGCGCGCGAGGAAAAACAATCATGGTGCTAAGTGCCTTCGGATCGTACTGGATGCCGCCCAGCGCAGCTCGGCAGCTCCCGCTGCTGTGACACGATCGTTTTGTACCCGAACGAAGTGGAGCAGAATTTGGATGTTCGTTATGTTTGGTGCCGCTGGTACAAAAAGATGGGTTTGGACTTGGGACTAGGTGAGCAATGATATGCTGATGGCGACTCTCTTTTTTTTCTTGGGGTGTGCGTGTGCGTTCGAACGCGTCGCGTGCCGTCCCTAGGCGGGAACGCGCTCAAGTATTACTCTAGCGTCCGGCTGGACGTGCGACGCAAGGAGTCTCTCCGCGACAACGCCGGCATCACCGTCAAGGTCAAGGTGAGCGAGCACAAGCAGGAATAGGTTACTGGCACGGAGATGGGGAGAGGTTTGAACGGCATTATGGCGTCCCTTCTTTCCCATGGGCGTTTGGGGAGGTGGTGAACACGGAACGGGAGGGGGGGACGCAGGTGGAAAAATGGCCGGGAGAGGATGGGGTGGGATGGGGTCCCCGTGCCTTGCCTGCACCTCTACATTTGTTTTTTGCTTTTCAAGAAAGTTGGGGCTCACTCATTGATTCTTTCTGACTGCCCGCGCGGTTTTGTTGCGGCCTTGGTTTTTGTTGCCTGTGCGCGTGCTTGGGAGCAGTCGCGACGCATCCGGTTGGTTCTTCGTTTACCTCCTCTCCGCGCGCGTGGTCACAATCATGAACGCTCTTTGTTCCTTCGCCCATGGTTGTGGGATTTGCTCAACTGCTGTGTCGTCTCTTTTTTGTTTCTGCTGCTGTGTGGTGCGTCTGCCTCTGCAAGGTGGCGAAGAACAAGATAGCGCCACCATTCCGAGTGGTGGAGATGGACATCCTGTTCGGCACTGGCATCGACACGGTCAGCTGCCTGCTCGACGCGGCGGAGGACGCGGGTTTCTTCACTCGCAAGGGCTCGTGGTACAGCTACGAGGGGAAGAACGTCTCCCAGGTACGACGCCGCCAAAGCTGCTGTACCCGTCGATGCAACTACAACAAACTGCGTAATATCTTTGATAATAACGCTGAAAATATGAAAATCAGCTTCTACGTAAAAGAGTGGAGTGGCAATATATTTCGTGCGGCCCGCAACTTTTTTTTTCCCACAGCTTCTGCTGTTGGCGTTTTAGTGTTTCCAATAACCCAAACCCTCTTGGCTGGGGACAGGTGTTGTATGCGTGTGTCTCGTTGGGCGTTTTCGGCATAAATTAGTGTTTGTCACTGTGTGCGTAGTATACGGAAGTGCATCACTACACGAGTGCGGCGTATAGCGAGTTCGCGCTGTGAAGGTCTCTCGCCTTTTGTTCGCTCCCTGTGTTGTCTGTATGTATCCCGCGGGCCTCGCAGTTCCAAGACACACAATTGTGACGAGGGGTTATTGGCTCGCGTCTCTCTCGTTAGTCTTCGCCCAGATCTTTTCTCTGACGCTGTTCCTGATGTGCTTGCCTCCTCCCCCGTTTGTTTCGCGGTTTATTTACCGGTTATTTCCGTGAACGGGTGTTGTTCCAGGGTCGCTTGAACACGGTGGCACACCTTAAGGAGAACCAGGCGTTGAGGGAGACGTTGCAAGACCAGGTAAGAAAGACTAGCATCAATACGAGCCGCAAGAGACAGCTGGCGGCTGCTGCCGGCTCAGCAGTAGCAATATGTGGGATTTTAATGACAGCGCTGCGGCACACACAACAATGCCTGTCCAGATTTGAAGACAGGAGCCTCCTTAGATTGATGATGCAGAGAAAGCAGGGGGTGAATGGATTCGAACGGTGCGGTTCTCTCTCTCCCGTTGCTCCTGTCCAAATGTTTGAAAACATCTGGTTGTCTTCGACCAAAGAGCGGTGGCGCCGTTTCCTTACGCAGGAAGATGTGGAAGAACGTGTTTGTGTATCTGCTTGCAACAGGAACTGAAGTTGCTTTGTCGAGAGACACCGGTGTGGTCATGTCAACGGTAGAACGGCTTCGAGGCAAAACGAAACAACGTGAGGGCCCCCCGCTCCACCTCCCGCCCTCGTTTCTGCACAGGAACACGAACGGACCTTGCGGATGTATGGTTGCTTGCACAAACGCCCCCCCCGTCTTTCCTCTCCCTCTCTCCCCTTACAAAACGCCGCCGCCTTTTGTTGGCTCCGTTTTTCCCAACCTTTGTTCCGGCGTTCCCTCTCCCCCCCCCCCCCCTCTCAACTAAATCGTTTTACAAGGTCCGTGCTCATCTATTGGAGAAGGCGATCAAAGACCGCGAGGGCGGAGTGGCAGACACCCCCATCACGGACCTCGAGGATGACGTGTTTGCGTCGTCGGCAGACGGGGGAGCAGCGGCAGCGGCCCCTGCCGCAAAGCCTCGCCGCCGGACGGCGGGTTCCGTTGAGGAGACCTTGGGCGTTTAATTCATGGTCTAGTATGTGGCTTCACGTTTTACGGAGTTTTGCTTGCTGTCTTGATTAGGATGGTGCGGCTGGTAGGCATGAGAGAGCGGGCGGGGGCTTGGACAGCTGGGAAGAAAATTGTACGTGGTGCAGAAGTACCGTGGCCGCTGACCGTCATGTGTTGATCGTTTAGTTTTTTCGTCCCTTTTGGCGTGTGAACCCCCACGTCTCTGCCAGCTGGCTTGTCTTACGAAGATTTTCCGTCTGGTCTTAAATGGCGGCCGGCGAAGGTTAAGGCGAGGCCACTCGAATTATGGCATTCCCCTTTTTATTTCCCCGGGTTACAGTTGCGGCCTGGTATCATCCACCGCCGCCTGTTGTAGTTCTTGTTGGTAGTGTTGTTGGTGTACTAGCGTAGTGCCTTTTTGTGTCGAAGGTGGAAATTTGTGTTGAGGAAAGAGAGAGAGAGGTTGGCCCTTGTTTTTTTCTCTGCGCTACGATGGTATGTAGGAGGGTGGACTTCGTTGGAAAGTTTGTAAATAGTTGGAGGATGCTATGTGTTACGCTATTTTTTTCAGGGTACACCTCGGGAAAATTCCCGCCGTTTTTTTCCCGCCGTGGTGGGCGGTCCCGGTACTGGCGGGAATTACCGCCACATTCGGTGGTACCGGGAACCGCCGAAGGCGGTACCGCCGAAAAACGAAAAACCGCCGACCGCCTAAAAAGTACCGCCACATTGCAGTACCGCCGAAAAAGTACCGCCAAAAAACGGAGTACCGGGAACCGCCTAAAAAGAACCGCCATATTGCAGTACCGCCGAAAAAGTACCGCCGTACTGCAGTACCGCCAAAATGGTACCGCCAAAAAACGAAGTACCGGGAACCGCCAGAAGAGAACCGCCATATTGCAGTACCGCCGAAAAAATACCGCCGTACTGCAGTACCGCCAAAATGGTACCGTCATACTCCAGTTTTGCCCTCTAAAGTAGCATAGGGCACCAGCTCCAACGTCATGTCTCGCGCAGAACAGCGGTTCGAGTCCAACTGGCGTGCGTCTTTGTTCACATTTATTCTTTTTTCTTTTTCTCTTTCGTTATACATATATATATATATTTTTTTTTTGGTTCTGCCTTGTTCCTCTTCGGCGGAACTTCTTTCATCTGTCGCCGATCGTCAGCTACCCGTGGCATTCGACGGATCGCGTTTTGGCGCACTGTTCTCTTTTTGCATTTTCTTTCTTCTTTTGGTTGCCTTTCGTTTGTCCATGAACAGCTCGATTTGACCATGGGTATGCATCGCATCGTGAAATCACGAAAATCATATGGGAGATGCAGGCGCTCAAGCGTACATACAAGAGACAAAGAGAGACCCATCCTGAAAGAGAGGAAAGAGGTTCGCCGGTTGATGGGGCGCCAAGGGCACCGAAATGTAGTTTGGCATCGCCATATTTTATATTTTGATATTCTGGTCTACTCGCAACCCTCGAAGGCGGTGCCGCCATATTTCAGTACCGCCACAAAAAACCCGCCATATTTGGCAGTACCGGGAACCGCCGAAGACTGTACCGCCATATTTCAGTACCGCCAGAAAAATACCGCCATATTTGGCAGTACCGGGAACCGCCGAAGGCGGTACCGCCATATTTCAGTACCGTCAGAAAAATACCGCCGTATTTGGCAGTACCGGGAACCGCCTAAAAAAACCCGCCATATTGAAGTACCGCCAAAAAAGTACCGCCATTATTGGCAGTACCGGGAACCGCCAAAGGCGGTACCGCCGGAAAACGAAATACCGCCAACCGCCAAAAAAAGTACCGCCACATTGACGTACCGCCCCGCCTGGATCCGCCTAAAAAACTAGTATCGAGGTGTACCCTGATTTTTTTGGACGTAACGAATCCCGCCCGACAATGGTTGTTCACCTCTCCGTATCGTGACTCTGTCATGTGCGCTGTGTTTCATGAAGACGGGCGAACAATACTGCTGGCAAAAGAAGAGACCACGGTTCGGGTAGTTCCACTGACGTACTTCTGTAGCTCGTACCTGCTCCAGCTGACGAAAAGTAAAGTAAACGCCACTCCGTTCCAAACGTGTCCCCCAACATTATCTCTATCGCGTCGAGGGAAATACGTGCATAGAACCAAACGGCTCGACGAACTTGAGCGGCGGAGCTACAGTACTTTCTGGACTGACGCAGGCGACACCTGCACAACATCCATCTGAAACGCATGCACGTCGCACCTCGGCGAGGCCTCGCACCGGCCACTTGTCGGAAGGTGTTGGTTGGCCTTGCTGGACGAAGCCCTCGAGAAAAATCTTCTCGGTAGGTCGACCTTCACTGCCAACAATTTGATCGCGTTGCTCAGCGCGATGACGTGGTTGTGTGGCAAGAACAAACGCTGACATACGGGCACGTCATGGCATCACGCGTTCGTGCACGCTGTGGGCCAAGGGTGTAATTCTGGACGGAACGCGAGGCATTTTCTGTGTCGCGATGTGTGGTTTCCCCGCATCCATCCTTCTTGTCAGCACCCGTCGCTTGCTGATTACAGTAGTGATGGAATTCACGGGGTAACACCAAAAGGAGAACACGATCACCCGGACCATCACGTTTGGTTTTGCGTTCAGTCCTGAATTCCGCTTACAGTACAAGCACCATCCTACTCTCGCGGTGTCTCGTCCAGGTCTCTTTCCTGCGTTTGCACGGGCATGTATTGCTGCATCCCTGCCGGGGCTACCACACGATTCTTGCTTCTCCGCTGCCGCTGGAGCAACCGAACGCCCTCGCGAGTCCATCGTAGCCACGCTCCACCGTTCGCACGCCCTCAAAGGCTGCCAGAAAGTCCTCGTCTTCCAAACCATGTCGGTAGTACCTCGAGGGACAGAGAACGAGGAGAGAAGGAAGGAAGCAGTTCGGTGCCCGCAGAAACTAGGCGAACATACATACGTTAGAGGTCCGAAACTTGCCTCATGTTAGTTGCATCTATATGAACGTGTCATTCCTTCATCAGCGTGGGGTTCAATTCGATGCATCATGCCGGATTGCCAAGGTTGTTCGCATACCAGATGGCAACACGCGTCGCAGAAACACGTTTTCCCAGCACGATTTGAAGATCAGCGAGCATGTTTTTGTTTTGGATTGAACGAACGAACGAATGAGCGCAAGCGTCTCACAAAGTACTTGTACGAATAGGGGCCTGCTATCTGTTCTCGATTGCGGTAAGTCCCGACGCTTCGACGTATTGAATAACCAACCGTCCTGTACAAGTGAAAGGCGGGCACTCTCCGCCCCTCTCTCAACATATCACTTCGAAGGAGTTTTGGGTCGCCAAGAACCACAAACAATTCTTGGGCCTCTCAAGCTTCTCGAACGACTAACGAAGGTTGTCCACCCCGTCGATCCACTTTCTAAAGCTCTCGCTCTCTATCCCTCTCTCCACGATCTCACGGCGAAGGTTGTTGGAAGTCACACGGGCGACAGAACGGTCCACACGCTCCTCTTCCGTTTTCGCCTAAACTTTGAGAATGCTCAGAATTCACTCTCGGAACCCCTCCCAACACTGTCAACCTTGACAGAGAACCCGAACCCGGTGCAACCCGTGTCTACCGGTGGTGCGGCAACTGGATAATACGGAAGCAAGTGCTGTTACGGGTCAGTATTGACAACTGTTGAGGTCTGTCTGAGACCATGGGTTCAACTATCGGGAAACCTTTGATCCCTTCTCTGCAGGTTGATGTTATGTTGTGGGTTTGTGACGCCGCATTTGTAGTAACAGTAACCTTCACCTACCAGTGTAGGTATGCTCTCGCCCGAAACTTGCCCTCCGCTCGCTTGACAACGTCGCGGAGGACCCCACGTATTCTCGTCTGGTTGCACACCGTCGTCACGGACCGCAACACCCCTTGGGAGCGTAGGGCTGCGGGTGTCGTCGTGTGTGCATGGAAGCGAGCGCGTGTGAAGACGACGAGGGAGTGAAAAAATGATGGTGCAGCACAAATACAAGGCTCCGTTCCATACCAAGCGCGTTGAGCTGGGCGGGCTGTTCTCTAGCTCTATGTAGAGCAGTACTTACTGGACCATTCGTCGTTTCCATCTAACGCCCCGGCGATCTGCTACGGGCCCCGAGAACCACAGAAAGTGCAACCGCGCACTCACCTGAATGAACCAACGTACGCACCCATTCACTATGCTGAGCGCAACCTAGAAAGGGATCATATATCATTGTCAACTGAGTGAGTGGGCTCGTCCGCGTGGCAAACATGTGCTTCTTGAAAATTAAACTCTGCATGAAAGGTGTTTGCCCCCTCCCCCCGCCCCGCCGATTTTCCGTCCCACATTCCCCGGGACTGTAATTCTTCGTACCGGGAGCGCAAGAGACATCGCTCGCAGTCCGCCACTTCTGGCACTCGTGATGCCGTCGCAACGCCTCGCCGGCTTCCTGGGCCGCCGCCGACATCGCCCCCGCTCCAGCCGCCACTGCTGAAGCTACCACAGGAGGGGTCCCTCCAACGCGCCCGCCACCGCGGCTTCTTCGCCGTCGGCTGTTGGACTCCAAGGAACGTCCAGCGCTCATACCTCCACCGTTACGGGCAGCCGCAGCAGCGCCGGTTCCTGCCGCGCCAAAGGTGGCCCCGCGAATGAGGTGGTGCGCCGCGACGCAGGCGTCGTCGTCGAGCCCGCCCGCCCTCCGCGGGCAGAGAGGCACCTTTCTCCCGTGGTCGTTGGCGAGCGCTGCCCAGTCCTTCTTCGTTGTCGACGAAGACGGTAGCGATGACGACGAGAACAAGCCCTGACCAATACCACCACTATCAGAAGCAAGGGGTCCGGCGGAGAGCGTCGAACGCAAGTCCACGAACTTCGCCGCAGGGAGGGGGACGGCAGCTGCCATCAGAGAGCCCCCATCGAAGGGCCTCTGCGCCATCTCTTGACGTTGCTGCTGCTGCTGCTGCTGTTGGTGGGAGCGGGGGCGGCCTTCTACCGTCGGCGGCGCGGGTTGGAAGCGGTCAAACGGCCGGCTGGTCGGGAAGAAGTAGGACGCCATGTCCAGAGATAGGGAGGCGTTCATATCCGCCGTGGAAACGACCATCCTTCCCCTTCCCGAGGCACCACCACCACCCCCACCGCCGCCGCCGCCGCTACCGCCGTGTCTCGACAAAACACCGACCGGGCGCCACCCCGCGGCCCCGCCGCCGCTTCGGGGTCCGCCGCTCGCGGCCCACCGTGAATCGGACACCGCCGGCGAAGACGTCGCCGCGCTTATCCTGGCCGATGCCTCAGCGGCCCCTCGGAGGAGATCGTCGTTCCCTCGGTAGATCACGCAGTCGGCGTAGGCCTGGAGGTGCTGGAGAGCCAGCGCGGAGTTGTAGTGTTGCAGGGGGGTGTCGCCGGTCCCGAAGGGTCCCACGCAGGCTGATATGAGGTACAGGGATGGGTACTCGTCGCGCAGCGCCTTTTTTTCCCCGTGGGATTCGCGTTTGTTTCCCAGAGGGGGGGGCGGGGGGGGGCAGCGAGGTGATTGATCGGGACCCTGGGCACAAGGAAGCGACGTATCAATTGCAACTTACGACTGCAACGACTTGTACACGCTAGTTTCTCCTTCTGCTCGTAGCGTCGTGCTCATGATTCCCCTGCGCAACGTTCGCTTCCGTGAAGACCTCTGGTGCAAGCCACCATTCTGAACCTTAACTCTCGTCAAAGATCAGCACTGCCGCAGTTGCAGCAACAAACACGGCAGTGCAGCACGGCGTCGAGTGTACCGTCTCATCTCACCTGGAGCAGACCCGAGCCAAGGCCTGAGCCCGTCCCGCCCGCTAAGCTGTGCGTCATCACGGCGCTGTTGAGCCAGCAAGACCGCTCTGCCTCTTTCCGCATCCCCTCCATGCAGCGAGAGAACGGGCCCTCTTCCCCTCTAACATCGGATCTGGAGCATTTCGCGGCGATATATTCTAGATGTCGTGGATTATTTATAGCCCGACATGCATCCACCTGCTGCTCACGCAAAAGCGTTCGAGCCCCTGCTGTTGAGTACATACTGCAGGAGACGTGGAGCCGATGCCAAAAATTTCTATGCCCAACGATGCAAAAAACTGTCGATGGTAAGGATATACACACGCATCCCGTCGTGGTATGTTTCTTGTCACCCTCGATTTCTTGATGATTTTACATCCTGGAACATCATGGGTACGCCCTACTTGCAGTAATAAAGGTTTTCAACACTTGAATACAAAATAAAAGGTAGCTAGTCTCGCCAGCTAAACACGCGTTCATACAAGCCTCCCCACTGTTACTGCCCCCGCCCCCGCCACCGACGCGGCCATGCCTGCAAGAAGCGAAACCCATGGCCCAGTTGTTGGCCAGACCGCTCTGCGAGTAGATAGCGTTCTCGGGCCGAAGTGACTCCAGGCGACCTTGGAAGCCTTGCACCACCTGTCGAAAAACGGTTCTGCAATATCAAGGGTACACTACTGAAGCGAATCGATTCAAAACACGGGGATGGTTTGGTGCTCCAATTTGTGCCCGCAAGGCCTTTTGGGGCTCTAAGTGGGGAAACCCCGTGGAATAGATGGCACCTCCAACAGTCCTCTTACGCGCGACTTTGCCCTCCGAACTCCTCCTGACTTCGAACTGCGCGGCTGCGTGCCTGCCCACAGTCGTGCGCATCTAGTAGCGAGAGCTACATTTGCTGTCTGCACCTAGACGGAACTCCAAAACATGGGATGCAAACATGCGCTGTCAACAGGCCAGGATATTCCACAGCCCCCTCTCCCTCCCCAACGCGCGCTTGGATGCCGACCTTGGGCTCGCTATCCACCACCAGGCACCTCGCCCAGCCGTCGTCTTCGTGGAACATAGCCGTCCCTCCGGGCCGCATCCGCCGCATTGGTGGCTTTCTCGACGGCAGTGCTGCGCGGCCGCTACCCCTGCCACTGTAGCTGCCGTCGCCTCCGCCTCCCGCCCTCACGTCGTCGACGAGAAATTCTTCCTCCGCTAGCCTCCAAAACGACTCGCCCAGCTGGATTCCGGCCTGGCCCAAGTGGAGGTGGATGCACGACATCGTCACCACTGCTGCAACTGCAACCCTGGTTGGCAGAAAAACGGCGCATGTGTCCGATACGCTTGGTGTTGACTGGGGCTAGGGTATTAGAGGAGAGGAGAGCAAGTGTGAGGGCGAGAGGTGAGGGAGAACGCTGCTTGACCTGTGGAACGTTGGGTGTCCTCTGCCTCATCGAGAACTTATCACCAACAACCATCGGATCAACAACGATGCTACAGCAAAATTGGTATAAGTCATCAACTTAAATTAGTGTCGTCGCAAAATGTACTTATACCACAAGGTAGGCACTGCTCTTTCAGCATAATCAGACGTACACGGCCAACCAATGTAACTGAAAATACCACATACCACGATGAAATTTGAACGTGATTCATACGTAATCACCGATGTACTTGTGCATACAATGGTACCACATTGACCCAAAATACAAAAATACAAGGGCAAGCGTGCTCTGGGTACAGCAGTGTACTGTAGGCTAGGGAGAAAGGTTAGATGCCGCCCGTGATTTTCCGGCGCGGGGATGTGCAGCATCTTCAAACCTGTCAAACCTGTCCCCTGGGTGACTTCTGAGCAAATCTTGAGTGAACCTCTCTCACGGGCGAGGTGGGTCTTCGGGCGGGGCGGCGTGGTGCTTCCATCGATACAGACCAAACTCCATACAAACGTGTGTGTCCCTCACACAGCGGTTGTAAAGCGATATATGAAACCAGCAGCCGATCGAAGGGGAATCATGAACAGACCTGTCAAGGACTTCGACACCTTGTCTCCCTTGTTGTGGGTTTTGGCAGTGTTCTGTGCCGTCGCTCCCCGGGGGAGAGAGATTTGAAAGATTGTCAATCGTGTCTTCGCGGGAAGAAGGTGTTGCACGTTTTCTGCTCTCGCCAAGTGTAGATCAATACGCCGATAGACTTACACTGGGTCACGCGTTTGGCCCGATGATCCAATAGAAGGAGCGGTAGCAGAAGGAGCAGCAGCAGGAGACAGCTGCAACCAGCACTGCAACGCTGCAACGGGAGCGGCGGGGTGGGGCGTGGCAGAACCAGCTTGAAACACACGCCTCGCGAACCATTATTGAAACCTTGATCATACCGTCACCTCGCCCTCTACCAATATGCAGGTTGGTAGGCTCGACTCGCAGGGAGTTCTCCATCTCTACAGCCTTTTCGCGCCTCTCCTGCTGTTTCTCTTTCTCTGTCCTGTTTGCTGCCCACCGCCTTGTTGCCCTCCTGGTATCGCTCTGAGAGGCCCTGAGGCCTGCGGCTATTGGTCAACCAAAGAGGTTCAGCTACGACCAAATGTATCCATTCGGGTACGCGGGACAAAACGTGGGTTGCATGATGCCCAAAGATACGGCCATTTCCTTGCGCTCAGTATCCATCATTCACGAAGAGTGCATTTGCCGTGGTTTAAAGGATCTAGAGAGACCCATAAACAGCCGGGAGGAAGTTGCACGCCAAACAAACTGGTCCTCTTGTTGATCTTTGCTGCTTGTGCAGTATCGCAAGCCATGGGATTTTCAGGGCAAAGATCAAGTCGCAAGATGAAGCTTGCACCCGCTCTTGCCATGATCCTGGCGGCGAGATTCGCCGAAGGCGCTCGGACCGTGAGTACATGAAAGACAACTCGCAGGTTGGCGAAGTTACAACTACCTGCAGATTAGTAAGTGCGAGGTGCAGACTTCAGATGTCTGCGGAGGAAAATACAAAAGCAGCATAGCGCGGCTGTGTTGCACGCATGTTTTGGTGTCCCATGATACCATCGCCGACAGATTGCGGAGCCCAAACTCGAGACCGACCAGGATATATGTTCCCAGTCGTGTGCGGCAGTCTCCTCGCACAGCTACATGCAACCAACTGTAGAGTCGGTCCGTATTCAGCCAGGCTGAGAAACGGGACAAAGTGGGAACAACCAATCTCTGACCCGCCCATGACTTTGGACTTATGGTCTACAGGAGGAGCGTACAGCTGTAGGCGACAGATGTAGTCTAGACTACTGTTTTGGGTAGGAAGTTCGTCATGTGTATGATCATCTTGCGTCCCGAAGTAGACCTTTGGTCTGCAAGACGCTTCACTCTTCTGTTTTGTATTGGAATGATACATAGTAGACCCCTGCATGAGTGTACCCATGAATGTACCCATTGGTCGGGTCGTAAGTAACAAAACACCACGAAATGACACTCGTTGTACAATGTCGTCCTTCATCTTCACATGGGCCCGCAACCCGTGAGAGCAACGTCTGGCGGATACACTGGTTCGCCTGTATGTCCAACAATATAAATCAAACACCGGGGGTTCTCCTCAACAAGACACACTGAAAGCGCACCAAATACTATGTTTGGTAGTTATACATACTACAGCATGACGAGTTGCATTTCCTTGGTGGGTGCTGCTACAGATTTGATGCAGTTCTGTCCTCAGCATATGTCAGTCTTGAGATAACCTTGAATGCTATTGAAAGGTTTTTATGAACGTGCAGGAAGCCACGGTGTGTAACACGTTACAAATTACTAACAACGGCGTTGGACCCACAAAGCTTATGGCAGAGTGGGGGTGCTATTCACAACCACGTCAAGATGAACTCTGACACACATACATGGCGGTCGTGGGACAGATTGAGATCTCCGACGTCAGCGGAAGCAGCAACGCCGACGCACCGAACACCATTCAGATGGCTATTGATACGGCTGAGCCAGGCGACACCATACTCCTGGCCCCAGGCATGGTAAGAGAGGCAACAGACAAGCAAAGAGAGCAAGCGGGCGGCGACAGCGTGCGTAGACGTACTTTCGATACAGGCATACAGTCTGTGCCTGTTTCAGTCCCTGTTGTATGAGTGTATCCATACGAGTCGCAAAGTCTTGGAACACCGTCACCTGCTAGTCCACGGTTGAGATAGTCACATCCTACACAAATGCACGTGTTGGACTGGCCGCGAACACGGAAAAAGCGAGCGAAAATAAATGTGGTATATGAGTGGGTGGGTCGGTGTGCGGTTTCAGCGTGACCAATCAGCGGGGCACAAAACCCATACTCACCATCCTACGAAATGATAAGAATCACGAAATGCCGTGCGTACTGTTTGCTGATCCTTCTCCCCAAGTACTACGAAGATATCAAGAGCTCCCGCGATGGTACAGAGGACGCCCCTATCACGATCAAGGGCCCGAGGTCGGCCGTGGTGCGGGGAGATGGTGGCATGAACGTGGTGTCGATCACGCACCACCATGTTCATCTGGAGGGCTTCTCTATCGATGGATCTGGCGGGTGAGCCTCTGGTGTATCGTTGATGACTTTACAGGGTCTAGAAGACGTCAAAAGAGATCAACCGAGAGTGGCGTGGTTGCTGTTTCTACTACCGTTGTTGGTGACATTGGCGTCATTGATGTTTTCGACGCTGTTGTTGTTGTGGCGCTTCTCGCTGCCGATACCACCGTTGGTGTTGTTCATCACTGGCGGTGTTGATTTTGTTTGTGTTGATGCTGTTGTTCTTGGTGCTGCATACAGGAAAAACGAGGACAACAGCGACCTCGATCCTGACAAGTTCCACCGAAACTTGCTCCACGTGCACGGAGACAGAAGGGTGGAGATGACATCCTTCCACGGGCACAAGCACAGGTATGTAAGCACCACGGTTGGCATATTTAGGCAGGTCCCGTGTAAAACGACTCAGTTGCACCAGATTTGCGCTCATCAGCCTACGAACACAAATGCCCCGTATTTGGGCAGCAGATAATCATTGGTACACGCACCACCCCCACATTTTGAGACACCTCGCCGGTGCCTTGACGATGAGTAAATTACCCAACGAGCGGACGAACCAACCATCGCCGTCACAAAATAAGAACCGCAAGTAATCGGACCAATTCGACCAAACTCCAAACTCCCAAACTTGTATTTGCGCACGGCTACATACCACCACCAAACAGGTCGGGAGTGACTGGGTTCAAGGGTTCCAAGCTCAACCTCTCCTATGCCCGTTGCTCGTGTGTTATGGTGAGTGCCGCACGCGCGTCGTCGTATGTTCGATCGCCATGAAAGTACACTATTGCAGCGATCGGGAAAACTCGATGCAAGTGTCGTTGGCCCTCACTGTTGCATCCTTGATTCCGCTCTACAGTGAGAATGTGCCCCCAGGGCGAAATTTCTTAACCCAGAAACCAACATGTGTTAGATTCCACGTCGTTCGACTTTGTGTGTTTCACCCACACCATCCTGCGGTGTTACATATCCCACGGGTACAACTGTTCAACTCACAACTGACCATGGCCGATCGTATGCGTTTCACCTATTGGGAGATATGGTAACTAACTTGAGGGAGACGGTGCTTCGTGAGCCGACCTTCGACGTTCGACACGTTCATGTAGTGTTTCTAGGCCTCTTGCTTGTGCTCATTCATTGTCCATACAGAGAGGTGGAGCACTCCGGGGTATCACCCTGGCGTAGTTATCATTTGGTTGGTAATCGCCTTACACCTGAGAAAGCCACGACGAACTCTCCACCCAACAACGTTTGTGCGTCCCGCAGGGTGCTCTCAACGAATATTGCTACACACGTCTCTGCCCTCCATTTCCCAACCACGCGCAACCCCACTTTCCTTGCATGTGTTGCCGCAGCTTTCGGACTTCGTAACCCACGCCGAGCTCAGGGACAACGACATCTCCGACTGCGGGATAACTTCGGTGAGCAGTAAGCAACATTACTTTGGGTACCATAGCCCAAAAACTTAAGTTTGCGTACGATAGCCCGATAACTTTGAAAATCGGCCGTTGGAGTGGTGCGGACTGTGGGGATACGTTAAGGAATTTAGTTGGCCGTCAAGATGATACGTAGGATTCTTGAACACTCTTCTGACATCAGCGTATTTCCTACCCCTGCCCCGAGTGATAAATACGATAGACACGGCCGCGATTTTGTTTTGGCCTTCTTCACACGAAGCACAGCGTCAGTAGAACAACTGTGAAACATTGCATGCGACGCACGGCACGCCCTTTCCCAAATCCATCTCTAGCCTACCATCCAAGCACAGAGATCCTTTTCCTTGAGACAATGGTTTCCTACCCGGCGTGTATTCATGTTTGTTCCTCACGCACAGACGGGATGCAGGGCCGGGGGCGGTGGCGGTGGCGGAGAAAGCGGCAGCATCGGTCAGGGGCTGGAGGTGGGCACTCCGACGGCCGAAGTGATGGCCGAATTCGACGGCGTCGTGGATGAGACAGCCTGGAACAAGGTGGTTGGCAACAGGTGCGTGACGTGGCACTGCCTGTTGTGACGTTTCTTAAGTGTCATCGTTGGGCATTGATATTTGTTCTTTTCACCGTGAGCATCAAGTTGGCCCCCCTTTCTGCCCCCTGGGTGCAAGCGGGTGATTTTTCTTCTGCTGCCTCCACCATGTGCGACCGTGTGATTTTGCTATTCCCATTGATTTCAAATATCGGGCCCGTACAATTATCTCTTTCGAGTGCAACCCAGAGTGAGTCTTGCTCCTGTACCTCTCCCCCTTTTCTTTCTCTTTTGTGGGACGACCGGACATCCCATTCTTTTTCCCCCTTGTCACCTGTCCGTACCCGGTTATACATACAGCTTTTCGACGATCGGCGGAGCGTGCGGCGTGGTGCACCAGGGTGCTCGGTTCAACCTTTTGGATGGAAACACTTGCACTGGCTCCAGGGATGCCGACGGTGCCGGTAAGAGGGCCCTCGCAGGTGGGCTTCGATCACCGTGTACAACGCCGACGTAGACTTTTCAGGGGAAATTGGAAACCGTTTAGTTGCAGGCGGGCAAGGCGATACGGGGGTGGTAGAATGAGTACGATCCGAGAGGAACCTACGTAGAACAACAGGCCTTGAGTGGGCGAAACCCCCAGAAAAGGAAAACCGAAAGCACTACGTCGAACGTCTGCGCAGCTTGAGTCTCGTCGGCCGTGCAATGCGCCTCTTGATGTGGCCACGCCTACCACCCCTCGTTAGGATTCATCCTGCTCGGCGACGCCAACACGTTCCGCAACAACTACGTCACTGGGGGCTCCGGGGCCGGCTTGGCTGTCGGGGGGACGAACTACGACCCAGAAGTCCACAAGTACGGCGTGTTTAACCAGGTGAAACAAACAGTAAAATGGAGATAATGGATACAAGAGTGTTGGCGATGTTTTCTTTTCTGTCGAAATTCCAAGCGCCGTTGATCGTTGCATGTTGCTGCTACCGTAGTCCTCGTCCACAAAAGAAAAAACGCCTGGGTCGCCTTCGGTGCTCTTGTGCAAGGTTGACCACAACCAGCTCCAGACGAATGCCGGGGGCTCCCTTCTCGACGGAGCTCTCCCGCAGCCGTCCGGGGAGGTCTGCCAGAACAGCGTGGAGGAGAGTGCTCCTCAGAGCCTCGCCAAAGAATGCAGCATGAACAACAGTCGGGACAACGAGCACGGGAAGGTGAGAAAAGGGGAATTCGAGAGGGTGGACACGAACAGGGAGGAATGGGGTGCCACTCAACGCCATGGTGAACACGGAAATTCGTATTGTAACCAGAAGTTTACTACAGTACATTATCATCCCCACAGGACAAGGCCGGGCGAAGTACACTTTCTTTCTTCGCCAACTACGTAGCATTGCGCGCCAAGCGCCGGGGGTAGTGGAAGCTAACTCCCCGATACTTGGTTCCCGGTTTTCTTCTGTTCCAAACGAGTCGACAATCAAACACGCGTGTAGGGTGCAGATCGCACCCAGAGAACTCAGACTCGAGCCACAAGGGCATGGAGGAGACATTTCTCGATGCAGGTTTTGTGCACTCGCCTTCAGCACGCGCAGTTCTGACCGTATACGGCAACACTCAATCCGTGAAAGTCTTGACCGTCCCATGCTGCTTCCAAGAACATGTTTTCCCCCGGAGACATCGAGCGTGGTGGTGGAGGTAGAACATACAGGTCAAGACATACATCCGTTGCCCCGTGGTATGTTCCCTGACAGATCTGTAGCAGACTTTTCCGAAATGCAAGACACTTCTACAACGACAAACCGGAACTTGTGGTATCTACAATGCATGTCCAGGTGCTCGCATGCCATGCGAATGCTTATACCTAAAGTGACAAAACAATACATAAGTTCATCGTGCCTGTTCGAACATACAATCCTTGTGAGCTCGAGCATTGTCCAGATTTCTTGTCTAACTGCGACTGCTACAAACTGTCGGCTGTTCATCTTCTTGTTCTGCAGACAACGTCCACGAGGGGTGTCTCGATGAGTAAAGACGACAATCAATCCTATGCCGCAAGATTCGAGCGCGAGGCGACTGCAGGTGGCGAGGTGGTCCGGGGAGGTACCGCTGGCCCCAGATGCAAGTATCTCGCCGTACCTCGGTATCACGTCGCTCCTTGCGAACTATCGGATATCATGGATGAAACAGGGGTGAGTGTTGCTGCTGTTGTTGCAATATCTGTTGTGATTGTTGTCACTATATTTTGGTTGTCGGTACTAACCGTGATAGTTGTGGTTGCTTCGTTGAACATTGGTGGTACCCGTGGAACTATCATGGGCACTACTCTTGGCGGAATGTCGACGGTGTCTACAGGCCTGGATGGGGATATGTCTACATCTGCGTGGGCGAGATGTAGATCACTACAACCGTCGACAGACAGATCCTTGTTTGAGTGCTGGGTTCTATTAAGGAGACGAGAGGGGCAACGGCCCGATGGGCTCACCATTCGGCGATCAAGAAAACCATCCTCCGCTGGATTCGAACGCCAAAAAACAACTCTCAACGTTGCGTATGATGCCACAACTCAGTGTTTCGATGACGACGCTTTTCAGATGGAATCTCCTTCAGATGGTACACTGGGGTATTCTCTATGTGCTGATTCTGTAGCGTCGACGTTGCTACGTGACAGATGTCACCCACCAGATATCTACGTCTATCGCCCCGTCGTATAGCTCACAAACTCCTGTGACCCTCTTTTCGTCGACCTCCTTATGCATATGTGCTTGAGGCTTTTAATAGCCTCCAAACTACGAGAAACTATTCCTTCTTGGCCCGTACTTGATGGGCTGTTCGCGGGTTCCAACCCTCTGCCTCGTGGGTGCCTGTCTGTCTGTCTGTCTGTCGGTCTGTCTACCTCCACAGCCCACAGGCACGCATTGGTCTCGCAACGGTGACAACAGCTGCCTCGAGTTCACCCTCGCCGACGACTCCGTCGTAGGGCCTCCCACAGTAGTGGCGGTCGAGATCACGTTCAACCACGGAGCAGATCGAGTCACCTATTTCGAGGCGAGTGGCGGTACCGCACGCTAGCGTTGCACGAGTAGCTGTCGGTGACATTTCAGTTCCCCGTTTCGAAAGGGAAGAGGGCAATGGCAATGATAAGCGGAACACGTTGTGCAGACCGAAGCGATACGTTGCGGTTCAACTACTCTTTTCCAATGGAACCGATTGATCAGGTAACCGCCGATGGCGAGAAGGTGGTCAGAGAGGGCAAATCCTCGGGCAGGGAAGGAAGCGCCGCAACCTCGGTGGAGGTGTTCACGTTCGCGGCTGGAGGCGTTGCGCCAAAGAAGATCCGATACACCGGTCTCAGCAACAGGCGAGAATGAGCGGCAGGGGGATCTCTATTGCTGATAGGGAATCGATACACTACTCCAGCACTATGGCCGACATGTATTCGGAAGACTCAAACCTTATCTTGCTTCTCCCCTATGCACCCCCCCCCCTTTTCCCCGATCGTTATGGTTTGAAACCCTAGGGAGGATGACTCAGATTCGGCCGAATTGGAGTTGGACCCCGACGCTTCGGAGACCGTTGCCCTATGCCATGGCACCCCGAGGGAGGGTACCGGGGCGGGAAGAACGTAACTGTAGAGGCATTGGACTACTGTGGGTAAACTTAGCAGAAACCTGTTGGTTTGCCTGTATTCTTGCAAGGGCTCTCATCAGGCAGCAAGGCGTTCCCTCAAACGCACGGAGACGATCTACAGGCAACCTGCAAGCTGCTTGACAAGTTCTCTGGGTGGACCTTATGTTGTGCAACACAGACTCTGTGTAGTATTGGTAGCAACGCTTGCTCTCGAAAATGTTTTTTGCCACAACGATCGGGTAAGGCCTTTCCATTAAAAGCTCTGCGTCGCACGCAGAAAGACAGAAGCCCATTGATGGCGATCATGGTTGTTTTGGCAGTTAGGTTGACCTCGTTGGAGTTGCACGGCTTCTGCCGGACGAGGTGGTCTCTTGCATCAGGGTTGCTAGGTTGACAGCATATTTGCATGAAGTTTTCGATTTTTCCTTGTGTTGTGGACAGGCCCTATCAAGGATGTTCGAAGCTGACAACCGTCTACAGCAGAGTCTGGTTTATCGGTTGACTCGTCTCTAGGTGATGCCACAGTAGGAAGTGGAATTGGTAAACAAAGTACGAACTTCGCGTAGAACAGGGGTGAATGGATGCAGGTCGTTCGGTAGAACGCGGGTGGAAACACGCTTTTTTGAAAGGCGCTTCAAATTGAATATGGACTTCCAAGATGTAACGCGGTGGGTCTCAATGGAGAGTCGGTAGTTTGCACATTCAAGTCATGTGATTGATCTGAGTCGCCTCAGATCAATACTAAGTCGGCAAGACTAGAATTATGTCGGCCAAGACCCTCACAACTCCGTCATCATCAGCCAGGTACATTCCTTCATTTGACAGGGCATCTGGAGGGAAACATCACGCATGACGTGGCGGACATAGCGAACACGTGTATTCACGCACAGAAGATTGCGAAAAAGCGAATCGACTCCCCCACCAGCCGGTCGGGTTCCGGTTACCCCTATAATAGAAGCCTTCTTGCCTGTAGCAACCAAGTGATGTGGAGTTCCTCTAAAATACTACTGAAAGGGTAAAATTTCCCCAAACGTCTGTCGAGGATGATTCCCTTTCACATGAACAACGTTTATAATACAGTAGGTCCCTCTGCTTGGTTGGGGACAATGCACGGAAATTGCCGGGCAGCTCAAAGCCGAGAGAGGTAGGTTTTCGAAAAACTGATTTTGGTTGAATGCGAACAAGTTGGAGAAAGGCCAAGATCGTATTGTCGAAGGGCCGTGCGACCGGGGGGGGGTCCTCACATCCATTATTTTGTATTTTTGTGTGTTCTCACCGTTGACCACTCACTCACGCATGCATCTCTCGGCCAAGACCGGCAACACCCCGCCGTTGCCTTACCAGCTTGGTATGGTACTTGGATTTGATTCAATCTGTACGCTCATGATGAGCGTCACAACCTACGTTGAGTGCCTTTATTATAATCAGCTAGATAATAGACTACATCATGTTTCCGAAGCGTTTCCGCTTTCCGCCGAATGTGTCTACTGTTAGTCACGCCTCCTTGAAAGCGAAGGCAAGAACAGCATTGAGGGACGACGCAGTCAGTGGCGGAGTTGTTTCTGGCGTCAACGGTAAACAGTGCATTATTTTTCGAAACAGGTCGGCGTCATTCCCGTTATTTAGACTCCTACATAAAGAAAGTAGCCTGCACTACACTGGCATGCATGCTAGTGTACTCATCGTGGACCCATTCATACGCGTAGGGTGTGGGCGCCGTTCGGCACCCCAAGAATTACCGTATTAGACATCATTTTTGGATTGGGTTGTGGCAGTCGTTCGTTGTACTGCTGCTGTAGACAAACTACAACTGCTGCGCTGTACCTACACACGGCATGATGGGACTTAACGCTACGTCTCGGCTAACAATCACATGTGTAACGAACGTAGCCTACAGTACATAGCATACACCGATTACAGCAAACATCTCAGAACCGCCCGAAGGTATCCACAGCAGTACGTACGGTAGATTGACGTAGACTTAGTCTACACGTCACCGCCCGTGGAATTTGACAAAGCTCGCAGTGTGGAAGATTCGTTGGGACGACACCGTTTCGCGGTGAACTGAGTGTTGGAGATTTATGCACACACCCCGAACGGTATTTCTCTTATTATTGCATCCCCACCACACCACTGTTACACGGACACGGACCCACCCTAAAAACGTGTGTTCCACCCACCTATCCGTGTTTTTTTATCGACCCCCGGCTCGGCTGCTCGGGATCTCGGGATGTGGATTGGTTCCCTTCCATTTTTCGACCAATCAAATTCCTCCAAACCTTGTGGAAGAGAGAAGACACAAGAAGACAAGAGAAGACGACCGCTTGTTGTCCCTCACCCCCTTTTGCCTTCCCCTCCACCACCCTCCTTGGCCAACCTCAAATTTCAACACCCCCGAGACTTCAGGTAATCACGTAGGTGCTTTCAAACTTTCGCCAGGCAGTGAGCGTGTGATACGTTGTGTGTGGCGGTGAAAGCCGTGTCCGTGTGTCCAGCTTTTTTTGATCGATGTGGAGGGGAGAAAGCGAACGGCCCGCAGAAAAAAACGACCACAGAGTTTGGGTGGATAGATCAGACCTACAGCAGTGCAACGGGCAGTACGGTTAGAGATACGATGGGCATGATTTTCTGGCGCGGTGAATGCAAGCGTGTGCGCAATATCAACGGAAGCGGTGATATTTTTTGTCTACACACACACGGAAGCTACACTGCAACAAGATGTATCGTGCTCTCTGGTCGCTACGCTTCTTCTTGGTAAAGACGGATCGCCCCAGCACCGCCGCGCTTAGATATTGGACGTAACTACGGAAGCGATTGATAGCGTTGAGTGTGCTACAACAACGGACGCCGTGCCGCAGGCATCTTGTAGTGTCGGTACCAGGACCTTTTGACTGATTCGCGCAAGTCCTACCACACTCGGTGTGCTGGTCGGCGCGAGTTGAAACCCAAATCGAAATACCGGCTGAAAAACTCCGCGCGCGTTTCGTTTTCTCACCTGCTGGCAAGCACGGCAGCAGTGGCAACAACACAAAACTTGCGGTGGCCAACTAATAGTAGCTAGATTGGGCAAGGGAGCAGAAGAATGCCTGGGCGGGCTTTCACCGTGTACCTGTTTCCGCACACCCAATAGTCTACTTTACCGACAGCAGTCTACTCTATTGATGAATTCGAGACATAGACGCGGAGTGTTTCCAAAGGAGAGATCGTTGAAGCGACTTCGTGCGCAACTTTAGTAGCATGGTGTAGCGTTGGATGTACGACTTGCGTCTCGGCAGAGTTGCTGCTACTGCTGTGTGCTGCTGCAGCACATGCCTTTCTTCGCAACCACCTTTGCGAGGTCGTCACGTTTGTTTAGACTACAGAATGGCCCGTATTCGCCGACCAGAGTGCGACAAGGGCGTCGTGAGCACTGCTGTGTGTCATGGTGTAGTCGTGCGGCCGTGCGTACACTCTTGTCAAACATGCAGAATTGTCTGTAGTGGTGCTGCTGTGCGTATACATATACTGCAGTGCATTCCTCTCTGCGCTGTTCGATCTCTGGAAAAAATTCCGACCAAGAAGTCCTTCCCGGCAAAGCATTCCTCTCTGCGCTGTTCGATCTCTGGAGAAAACTCCGACCAAGACGTCCTTCCCGGCAAAGCACGAGGAGCGTGGACCAGCAGATGGTTGCCTCAGTGCTGCTCTCTGTCCATTGTCGTCCGGCCTGCTTACTTGCATGGACCAACGATCTTGTGACTCACCGACTTGCACCAGATAGCATAGTTCGTGTGTTTCAGGTACATAGAGCTCGGTAATCCTGGACATGTAGACTACAGTACTGCGTATTCTTTGGGTACCGCCATGTGGGAAGTCTCATGTGTGGTCCATGGGCCGCGCATGGGCTGCCATGAACAACCCATGGGTCGGTGGGAGACGCATGGGACCATCATTCCATGGGACGTCCCATGAGCCATGAGTTCGACCCATGGTCCAGTCTTCCGGTCAGATTCATTGGACAGCCATGGGCTCGAACCCACCGTCCATGTGCAGCTCGCAACGACCATACTACGTTGACCCAAGACGAGGCCTCTGTCCGCCGATCAAGATTCGCCATGAGTCATGGGTCGTAATTGGCCGCTTATGCGCCGCTCATGGGTCTCTCATGTGCGCGGACGGGTTATCGACCACCCATGGGCCGCGTAATGGCCACCCATCTATGCTACAGAACTCGCCAGACGTCCCAGGTTCGCCAATTGTGGCATCATGGGACGACCACGGGTCGACCACGGGTCGCCCATAAGCCGTCATTGAAAATTGTCTTATAGTACGCTATTCAAATTTCTCTTTGTCTTTGCGTTTATGTGATATCCCTGGATGGTCCACGGGTTGCCATAGATGTTTGGCCGGCTCGTAGGCAGACGATGGGGCTAAATCACGGTAGGCACGGTCTTCGTCAGCCCACGGGCGGCCCATTGATTTTGGGTACCAATGGAACGACCGGTTAAAGGGCAATCCATCGCGCGTCCAACAAAACGGCCCGTCGGCGATCCATAGTCCACGGACAGCCCACAGCGACCCATGAGAGGCAGGCTGCGTGATGTCGACTACGTTGGCGAAACTTGCACCATGCACACAGTACGGAACAGAGGTCTGGGCTGAGAAGTCTTTGAAGTAGCCTTCTCAACTATTCCGAAGCGCATTGCGGGAATAGCAGGAGGGCAAAGTGTCGAAGTTGCCAGTCTTTTTTGTGATGTAACGACTTGATTATCATATGTAGGCGATGAGACTATTGGATGGTGGCTGGAGATTTCGTCGTTCTAAAATGTTGCCCGAAATGCGTTTCCAAGAAAAATGTAAACCTACCTCTTTCAAGGGGTAACGATGATATCTTCTTGATTCAAGATCTTTCCAATTCAATATATTTCGCCCCAAGAGTTGTTGAACATGAAGTTGTTGAACATGAAGTTGTCTGGACACCTCGCTTTGCCATTCGGTGCATACATTTAGGGTTCCTCTAGGGGAGGTACATGTGCTCAATATCCCTCGCCACAATAAACCTGCATGCTCACACACCATACCAACACATGTCCCCTCAGACACAACATGGGCGGCAACGACACCTCCACCACCTCGAAGAAGACCCTGCAAGAGCCACTGGCACCGTCAGCATCGCCTGCGGCTTCTACTGACGACGCCAGTCACGAACTACGCAACAACTTGCCCAGCGGGTGTTCACAGAAGAAGCCGTTGGCATCGGCATCGTCAGTGGCAGGTACCATGGTCAAGGCCTGTGTTTTACCGTGGGGCAATGGATGCCCAAGTTTGTTTGTGGGATAGGCTGGCTGATTGGGTTGTTGCAGGTTTGAAATATGACGACGTTGTTTGGTTTGATTTCTCGCCTAGACGCGGGAGAACTTGGACTGCTCTGCTCACGGTCGAATGACTGAATGTGACGCTGTTGCTGGTTATCTCGCGACAAGCTCGTGGCGTGACTACAATACTGTCCGGGGTTATCGGTGGCCCTTCAATTGACACGTTACTGCATGGTGACAAAGTTTCCGACCTCTACCTGTTCTCCAGGGGGTAAAATGTCTGGTACCCGCAAAGGCCGCTTACCTAGAGGGGTCGCGCAGGCCGGTCGTCGTCGGCTATAGTTGAAACAGCTGTGTTGGCCGGACTCAGCAACTTCCTGCACCCCTGCAGAAATATCGGTGCTGTTGTCATTACGTGACATGTTCAACAGCTTGCCCTCCTTTCCAGGTCACGTACTTTCTGGCCTTACCGAGAGGTCTGCTTTGCCTGGTCGTAGTGGCAGAAAATACAGAAACAACGGCACGCGCGGCAGCCGTGCCCCCTGCGCCCAGAAGTTGCGCAGGTCGAGATCTCGATAGAGGTTCAAGCGCAAACGCTATCAACGGAGGACGCATTGAATTCACCCTTGTTCGCGCTTGCGAGATGTGGTATTAGTTGAGTTGCTTCCTTGCGCGCTCTGACCTCCCGGCTATCGTACGCGAGAAACAATACAGGCCTGGTCCATGCATAGTACGAGGTAGACACTGTAGATTAGGGGGCATCCGCGGCATCGTGCAACTATTGAGCTGATTCGTTCAATGAAGGCCTACTACCGGCGTGGAAAAACCCACCATGATGCCTGACAAATACCCAAACCCAAACACCCGCACTTTCTCCTCTTGCACCCTCCTCACGGTCCGTCGCCTGGCGGGAAACGGTTTTGGCTATTACACCACCACACAGGTTACGACCTCGACCCCAACCCCATGTCGTCAAGGCCTAAAACTGCCCCGGCACACGAAACATGCGGCACATCCTCCTCGCAATCGCCCGGCGTTTCCCCTACATCCTCCCTGTCGCCACCTCCGACATCTACATCATCTCCGAAGACGCTGCTGGCCCCAAAGGCTCCTCGCTGCGAGGTACAGACACACGTGTTTCGGTGATGCTGCACTCTTCATTCACCTCCACTTGTTCATGTGTGGATGAATGCAATTGTTAACCTCTTTAGAAGTTTGTGTGGTCCGTGGTTGTCGCATCTAGGAAAAGGCCAGCATATTTTGAGGAGTGTGCTGAGCAAGTGGGTAGCGCTACACCGCGCACACCGAGGTACCATGTGGCAAGACCGACAAGTTCATGGTCGAGGAAGTTTGTTTTGCAGTTTCGAAAAGTGTATGGTTGACACGGTGTCCCATTGGGCATCGTTGTGTTTTGTGCTTGTGCATTTATGTGTGCTGTGCCCGTTTCAAGTAGTAAATGAGACCGAAACAGAAAGGGTGAGCACTATACGCTCTCACAGTAGCTTTATGTCCACAGGTCGTACCTCCCTTTACGAACATGTGTTCTTAGTGAAAGCGAACACACAAGATAAAAAAATTGATTAGGTATCACCGCTCTTTTCGCATTCTGTTTATGCATGCGTTCATCCCGAACAGTATCCGGGGTGCCCGAAGTATGCAAAGTATGGCCTGAGGGACGCCCCGCCCAGCAAGTGTCAGGCTCACAAGAGGGCCGGTCAATACACCACCAATCGCCACGGAGAGCTGCTGATGGCAACCCGTGACGGCGACGGTAAGTTACAACCGTGAACCCTGCTGTTGTTGCTGCTGCTGCTGTTGGAAACGTTCCTCTCGCGTCCATGTTTTCTCAGTCAAGCCCTATCCCGAAACGAAGTCATCGGGTAGGGGAGGCCTTGCGGGATTGTGGGTACGCCTTCAGAGTAACGGGACACGCTTCCTCTTTCTTATCCTTACCGAATTGCTTTCCACCGTAAGCTACAGATTATTTCCGATGCTTGCTCAACGTCAGAGCATCAATCGCGCATCCCCAACCCGGTCGTTTACCCGTGCAACGTTGTACTCCAGCGTTTCGTAGGGTGAGTAGTGCCGGTTGAACCTTGAGTTCCACACCGTACTCATCATTGAAGAGAACCCCCCCGGCGCCCGCGCCGTCTCATACTTCGCATCTTTTCGTGTTTCGCGTCATTCTCAAACGGCGGCCATGCCTTTCCCGCTGTGCTACCGTAGCGTTCCGGACACCGGCGGTGGCGGTGCCAGTGCCAGCTGTGACGGTGCCCCTCTCCCCAGCCAGCAGTGAAATTGCAGGTGAAATATGAGCGCGGTGTCTGTCTAATGTGTGTCGCCCCTGTGTTTCAGCCTTGGCCCCTAGGGCAGGGCGGAAGTATGCGTTGACCAGAGCATAGAGCGTGTCTTCCACTTCAATGTATGCCCTTGCTTCCGAAGTGGTGGTGGTGTTGCCGTGTCCGGCGGCGTTTTTTTGAATTTTTTGCCGGTGGTGCGCTCGCGCCCTGAACCATTGCCATCCGTTCCATGGAAATTGTTGTGTGAGTCGGCTTCAAGCAAGTCTGACGGACTCAACTGGGGGATAGCAAACCTGCTCACGTATTTCCAGCCTGGCAGTTCCATCCCACCCGGCGGGTACCCGACCAACGTTAACCAAGAGAGATTAAGATACATCGCCTAATGGATGTATGACGAAGTATGTTTGCCACATGTTTTCCGACTTCTTTCTGCTCTCGAGCAGGCAAAGCGGGTAGTAGCCAATCGGTCGGTTCGTCAATAACGTCCTTTCCAACCGAAACTGCCCCTTTATCACCGTTCTTTCGTTTGCCGCCGTCTATTTCCACGATCTTCTTTCTCTCTTCGGCTATTTGACAGGGACGGAAGCGGCATCCGCCCAACCGCGGCGGCGCTCTACAGGAAGCAGCGGCCCCTCTGTACCCTCTCAATGCAAGCCCAAGGCGAAGCTTTCTTCGTCGGTACACACGTTGAAACGTAAGATACTGGGGGGTGACCAACAAGTGGCTCTGGCCGGCTGTTGTTTCGTGCGCATGTATGATACAAGAAGTTGGATGTTTCTGAATGCATTGAGCAATGACACACGGGTTAGCCTGACGACCTAAACCACTCCCACATATCACATGACATTGAGCGTGCGGAGGGATAGCGTTTGTATGCAACGTATTCACTCAATTTTTGACGCATAACGCCGACACTAGTCCTACTCTGAGTAGGAAACACCTACTTGCGCCAGTTGACGCACTGCACTCCGATGCGGCAACATTGCGCTCTGCGTGTTCCCAACGCCGGGTTTTGCTCTACAACTCCAATCGTGCTACAGGCAAGAACCGACCGGGGACATCATCAAGCGGACATGAAGAAAGTCCGGCACCACAAAACCGCCCCTGCCTCTTTCCAGGGTGAGACAACGCATAGATCAAACCGAAGCTTTCTTTTGGAGCACAGAGTTGCAGTGGATGCTGATCATGCGTGTGCTTGAGAGCTGCGATTGAGGTCGAGGTGTCTTTGAGTCTCTGTCTGTCAAATCGTGGAGGTCATAGATCGTTTTCACCGCAGCAGCTGCAGTAGACTGAATGCAACGGCGACAGACCTCGACTTCTGTTTCAATTTATTGACGAACGATTGGCCCTCGTTCGCGGGGATATTTGCAGAGGTGTTTCGAGTGCTGTCGAGAGATCATATTGTGCTAGTTCGCAACGTTTCTTCTCTTCCGCCTACAACCTGGTGGCAATCGTTTTCTGTCTCAGGTGTGGCGCTCGCCCTATCTACGGCCTGCCGGGGGCGGCGCACGCCGTGTACTGCTTCTCCCACAAGAAGGGCTCGATGGTCAACCTTTTCAGCCGAGCGCCAGCTGTGAACAACCACGAAGAGAAAATGGTCACCCCCGCGGCACCTACCGAGGGCAAGAGGAAGAAGCAGAAGAAGGAGCAGGAGGAGCGGAAAATGACCGGCATGACCGCCGACCAAAGGGGAGCGAAAAAGGCTCGCCGCGAATCAAGCATCAAGGAGGACAACAAAGGCGCCACAAGCAAGGATGACGGCGGCCACCGAGGTGCCAAGAAGAATCGTGGCAACGAGACGAAAGTGAACAGAGGCACGGGCGCCTCGGAGGGGAGCGTTGGCGACGTTGCCACCGCTGCCGCCGCAGGTACCTCTGAGATGAGCACGAAATTACCAGCAGCAAAACCACTGGTGAAATTGACCAGCAAAGCGGAAGAACCCGCCGACACTATGGCACCGCCTCCTCAACCGACCAGCCGGCCGTCGGAGGGAATGGCTCCCTCTGTTGAGATGCTCATTCTGAGGCAGGCGAGGGAGGCGGCCAAAACGGAGGCGGAGGCCAGCGGTGGCGGTCGAAGGGCGCGCGCTCCCTCACGCCGCGCTCTGGAAGCCTCCGGTCAACTGAAGGGCGACGGGGCTCAGTGGATGACCCGGGAGAAAAAGGCCGAGCAAGCCAGGGTCAACACCGAGCTCCGGGAGAAGAGGAAGAAATCCCGGGAGGCGGGGCTTAAGGTTGGGGTTGTGCTCGAGGCGTTCGTGTGATCGCCGGCACCGACCGGAACAACACCGGCCGATGTAGAGAGTCAGGGGTGGGACGGTGGTGGTGGTGGAAGAGGAGGGGTTGTGGGCACAGAGCCGACATTGCCATAGCACCCCCTCGGCAGCAGCGGCAGTCGTAGACGGGGCGAGGGTTTCTTGCCCGTGCCGCGTGAGATAGGCCAGGAAGCGAGCCAGACGATTCTCAGCGGCAAGACAGGATATGGTCGTGGTGTGTGTCGCTCACGTGAGGGCAGATGCCTTGTCGGGTGGAGAGCTCACGGAGCTATTGTACGGCTGCTGTTGCTGCAATGCAGCAACCGATGCGGGGATGCTGTTGGGCACGAAAACTGTCGTAATGCAACACGAAAAGAGTACTAAACAAAGCGGTGCGTCATCAGGTGTTCGAGAAGAGGGTAAATTTAATACGGATATCTCATGCGGCGACCGTGGTGCACGTGTTTTGTGAGAACGACTACCTGCGAGAGACAACGTGCGCTAATCACGCTGTGTGGACACAGGGGGGATATTCCATATGGGAAATTGACGAACAGAATCATCGTGTCGCGCCCGTTTGGGTGGTCGTCTTCAGAGATACGAGGATGCGGCTATCTGTCTGTACCAAGCGTTTTACAATGGGCTGATGTGTTTCCCTGTCGTAGAGACGCGTCTTTGACTTTGATCCATATGTTTCGCGCATGTCTGTGAGGGATTCGGTTCTCGTTGGCGGGAGCGCTCTCTGTTTGTAACCCTCTCTTGCCGTCACGATGCGACGTGGGGTAGAAGGCACCCCCTGGGACGTTATTGTCGTGTGGGTTTGTATCTCCACGCGGTAGGCACTATGGGTAGTAGGTTTCTCGTCGGGAGCTTCACTAAGCACGGCACTCGGTGTTGGAGGGCCCTACATCGAGCCAAGACATTGGTCCATCCAGTGTGTGGTAAACGTGTGTTGCGTTCGTGTGCGGCGCGTGTCGTGAGTCGTGAAACGTACGCACAGGGCAGGCACGAGAAGGGGACCGACCCTTACTAGTTGCGCAGGGGACTTTGTGTTCTTTTATCTCGGGAAGGACTAACCAAGTAGCCGCTGCCGTCAGTTGCAATGAGACGGTATGGGTTGATTTGTTTTGTGGATGCAATGTTTCGTGTCGAGTTGCAACGTAGCGGGGAGGTCGCGAAATAGTAGTCGCTGCCGTATTTGTAATGAGACGGTACGGGTTGAATTGTATTGTGGATGCAATGTTTGGTGTCGGGGTTCATTGTAGCGGGGGGGGGGGGGGGGGGGG